CGTCACAACACTGAAGTACTGAGAAGTTTGTCAATTTAATTCGGTTGGTTGGTTTGAAAGTGGTTTTAAGCTTAAAACGATGCTCTAAAGTTTTGCTTAGTAGTTACTGGTAAAGACCCCCATAAATATGGTTTCCTTCACTTGAAGTTGGAAAACTAGACCAATTACATCCACTAATTTGTATTTTCAAAAATCAGAGTTGAAGCTCAGGTGCATAAAGTCATGAAAAATCAAAAGGACTGTTGACTGATCGTTATGCTACACTACGCTATTAAAGTCAACTGAAGAGTGTTGGCAATGTGAACCTACGACATTGAATGTAATCACAACAGTCAAAAGTTATGCTTTTACGATATGGTTATGTATAAAAGACACAACAGGGCAAAATGAAAGATTAGAAAGGGCGATGTTGTTTATACAGTTTTTCCTGTAGGTTTAGACTAAGTTGTAAAACTATGAATGTAAAACTAAATGTGTCTTGCAGCACAGTGTGAAGTCAGTATGTTAATGATGATTTGGGACAAATATAATGTGTTTGGATGGAAAACTGTTAGTGACGCAGCAGGATTTTGAATCGTAGCCGAGCGCTGTTGACAGACTCATAGAAAACGTGTTTCAATTGTAAACGTAGCGCAAGGCAGCACTGTGCTTCTCTTTCGGGCTGCGACCCCCTTTATAGTACAGCAAATTAATCATTTTGAATACAAAGTCACTTGCCAAGGAAGGGTAATGAATTGCCATTAAGGACGGTTATAGTGATTGGTGAAAAGCATGTTATTGGCCTCGTAATTTTAAACAATTTCATAACTTGATCTTCTCTTTGGTGACGCATGTCAGATCTCTCATGTCATTTCATCTACATAAACCATTCCCCCTTCTTATTGCAAGCTTGCTCTGCCTTATCCAATCAACATTCGATTTATAGAACCAAGTCCTTTCCTTTTTCTTTAATCAGATTCACTCAGATATACATCACAATATGGAATAAAATTTTGCTACTCCCATTTCATTGCGACTTTAAAGCTAAGGAAACTGGAGTCCAATATAGTTATTTTCTGCAAAAACTAACCATACTCTGTCTCAGTCTTGGGCTGGTCTGGTGATTTAAAATGCTTTCCCTCCCATTTCCGAGCCCTGATACTGTTACCATAGCAACAGGTTTTTCAGAGCGGCAGAAGCGTGTGGAGAGGAACAGAGGTGCAATTCTGGAAGGAGTGGGAGGGGTCACCAGCTTGAAAAGTTGTTTCTTGGTGGTTTCTTCTTCCCCAGGGAAGGAAGCTGCTTTGTGATAGTCATCTTGTCAACTCGGCATTGCAGGGAGCAACGAGAACTCTTAAGGTGGGAATGTTTTGTGCAACCCCCAAAAGTACACAGGCACAATTTGTGTGTGTATATATATATATAAAATACCATCTCATTATCTTTTCATCAGCTGAGAACAGTGCATTTCTCTCTTGTGTGTGTATTCTCAGTTTAATGTCACCCCCTGTATGGCATATCCTCCTGTGCTAAGAGCAGTCTCTACTTCCTCTACTTTGTTAGGCTTTGTCCTAGTATCACACTCAAAATCAGGCCTGTTGAAATGATATCCATCTTCAAACTAAATGGAGACAGCTGACTTATCTCTGGAAGTCCACTGGCTTTTCAACACACCAGCATTTGGGGGCTTTTCCTCTCTCCCTTACTTGTTCATCAGTTTAACTGAAGCTGTATGTTTTTATGCTTGTTTTGTAGGTGTTTCTGGAATTTTAATATGATTTTGTGCATGCCAATTTAGTTATGATCAGAGTGAATTTGGGTTTTGTCTTAGAATTCTGCCTGACCTCAGGCAACGCTGCTCGTTCCTCGACCCCCTCAGGGGTCTTCTGTTATCAGGTTCAGATCTCAGATATGCACCCTGGGTTATACTCTTCTGAAAGATCGATAGATAGCACACACTTCGAGAGAACTCAGGAAGTTTTGCTGGGAAAAACACAAAATAATCCGCACATTATCAGCTTGAGTTTCCAAAAGATGGACTGCCAAAATGCTTATGTCACTAACAATTTCTGCCCCTCCATTTGATACTTTCAGCCCATTGGGAGACAGCCAAAGTGTCTCTGTTATTCATTATGTTCATCAGGGCTTCAGAGACATAGCCAGGTTTATTTTATTGAGGGATCGTCCAAAAATGAGAATTGAGATCTTTCTGGCTCTGTACCAAACCTTAGTGAGGGTCTTGATATCTAGTGTCTAGAATATATCTTTTAATTTATCATTCTATTCTAACTGTGCATGTTGAGAATCTCAATTCAGTCACTTTTTTTCATTGTTTCATTGACTAAACACTTCATATTGTTGCTTATTTTGTTCAAGATCCATTGTTCCTTTATGATTTAGATAAATCTGTTTTCTATCAATAATTTTTTAATGCTGAATGACATTTCTGCCATTTTGGTATCCCCCCAGGAAGGCTGCCTTATCTGTTATGATACATGCCATAGCTCAAGTGTCTTATGAGGCAGCATAACTTTTCTGCCTACTGTTCGGAACAACCTTTGCATTGTGAGCTTGCCAAATATGCCTAAAAATGGTGTCTGGGTAGGCAGCTCAACTGGGCACTGTAGTCTTCCTGGAGCCCTTGTGTCTGTAGACAGAGTTGGGGTGAGGCCTGTTACAGTAAGGGTGAGTTTAAATATAGACGTTCCCCCCCCCCCCCCAACAGTACAGTACGCTTAACACACAGTGAGAAAATGGCCCACAGGAGACTGGTATGTTTCTTACAGAAACATTACCCCCCAGCAGGGCCCACAACCGTTTTTTCTCCTCCTAAAATAAATCAGCCACCATAGTGCAAGTTTTGTAAGACAAATTCAATGTTAGCAGCACATTTAAATGTCAGATGACTTATAGTAGTTTCTGCATCATTTTCTAACAATATGATTAAAAAAAGTCAGTACTCATGATGTCAGTACTTTACTGCTTTTTCTGCATTTCCAGGGAGGATGAGGGTGAGCAGCGTTTCACAGCATATCTGATCTTTGAAGTTAAGAAAGGAAGATGGGAGTGCTTTGATGTGAATGTCAGGTTTAAGAGCAGGAGTTTGATGAGTCAGGCTTGAAGTCCTCATAAATCACACTGAACCTTCCAGTGCTTTTTTCCCTTTCCTTTCTTTCCCCTTTGTAGGTCAGAGGACCGAAGTGGTGTTACCCTTTCCTGTAATAAATGCTTTAAGGGGAGGAGGCCAGACATACTGCTTGAAATCACGAGACTCGTGTGTGTCTGTGTAGGTGTGTGTGTAAACAGCCACAGTCATTCTCGGGAACTGACCTTTTGTTCGTTTACTACATATACTCCATTACTCATACTCTCTCTTGCTGTCCAGGAAGACCAGACCCTCTCTCTCTCTCTCTCTTTCTCTCTTTCTCTCTTTCTCTTTCTCTCTCTCTCTCTTTCTCTCTTTCTCTTTCTCTCTCTCTCTCTCTCTTTCTCTCTCTTTCACTCTCTCTCTCTCTCTTTCTCTCTCTCTCTCTCTCTCTCTCTCTCTCTCTCTCTCTCTCTCTCTCTCTCTCTCTTTCTCTCTTCTCTCTCTCTCTCTCTCTCTCTCTCTCTCTCTCTCTCTCTCTCTCTTCTCTCTCTCTCTCTCTCCTCTCTCTTCTCTCTCTCTCTCCTCTCTCTCTCTCTCTCTCTCTCTCTCTCTCTCTCTCTCTCTCACCAATTGGGTACAAAAACGGAGCTGATCCTCACTGGGTGAAAACGCTCACGGGACTATCTGACAGCGGTTCAGTATCTCTTATTGAGTTACTGTACTCCGGATAGACTCACCAATGTCTTTCTCTTATCATTGGCGCCGTGATCTCATGATCTGATCTCTGCTTCTGCCACTAATTCTTCTGCGTATCACACAGCCTCCAAATCATTTGTCCTTGGATTCCAAATGGCAAATTATCTTGTTTTAAGCATTTGTATCATCCAAATAGGGAATATTGCTGCCACTTTAGGTGCTCCAGGTACCAGTATCAAGTGAACTCTTAAGTCGCATTGAATCTGAAATGACTGCTTATTTAAACTAATATTTAATTTAATATTATAAAGAATTGAAAGCGCATATATTTTGACTAGATATGACTTGGGTCACTTTATCATAGTGAGCAATGCATTTTTACATTAAGTGAGTGTAAGATGACAGAAAAGGCAATCTAAATGTAATTCTTTTAAAACACACAAAAGAATTATAATGTTGCGATGCCTTAATTACTTGTAGCATTTGCTATGATTTTAATTTATTTATTGATTGATTTATTCATTTGTGTATGTTTTTGTCATTGTTATTTTTTTAATTACATTTAAAATATATATATATTAGCCACTGATTGGTTATTAGCCATAACACAATTATTGCCTTGTCAGTATTAGCCAGAATTTTTATATTCTTGCCTAGTACTAGTTAGTCAACAAATAACATGGCCAACTTTAAAAAAAAAAGTTAAACATCAAGATTTTAGTTTAATATGTAAATGTTTGCTCAGTTGGATAAATTGCCTTAGCATTTAAAGCCTTTTCACCCAGTGCAGATGTATATTTCTTGACTGCCTTGTGCGGTTTTAAATAGTGCATCTGAGACGCCTCATATATTTTAATTCAGCATTGACGTGTCGGTCTTGCTCCAGTTAAGACAGGATGCTTTTCCAGTAACGTGTGTCGGAAAGTATTTCCATCTGAGTCCTCTGCCCCTCGCTTACCTGCCTCTCTGCTGATGTGATACAGGCCAGTGAACGCTCACGTCTCTGTATGCAGAGGGTGGTATGTGTTTGTCGGATTGTACGCTATAGATTCCTTTTTTATTTGTGTGGTATGCGTTTGTATGCTTTCTGTCACTGTGGTTAAAAATGTGTCAGGAATCTCTCCTCTTGGTTTGTGATATAGTTGCACATTATGATTTCATATTCATGAAAGTGGGACATGAAAAATCTGTATGTCACCATGAGTGATATTTTCATCTCTTTCTCTCTCTTCCTCAGTGTTTGCTGTCTCAGCCAAAGTTCTGGGCGGTGGAAGTGACATCACTGTGCCTGAGGACTAAGCTGGAGAGAGGAAGCTCACGGAGAGTTGAACGTGCCATGATGCAAACTCAGGTAGAATGTCTTTCAGAATGCACATCCATTTGCACTCAAAGAATGTGTTCCTCACCTGAAATATTATCATAAATAATGGTACAAATGCATTTAGGATCACAGTCTATGTGCTACATGTTTCTTAAGCACCAAATCAGCATATTAGAATAATTTCTGAAGGATCATGTTACACTGAAGACTGGAGTAATTAACCATCACAGGAGTACATTTATTTTTGATCAAATAACATAGACATATTTTAAAAACATAAAAAAATCTTCCCAAATGCAAACTTCTAGTGACTTCTTTAGTCTGAGGCGCTAAGGAGTGTACAATTCTACTCTTTAATATGAGCTGTAGGGTAGTGATTACTTCATTCAATTTGTTGATTTACTGTTTTCAATGTAATGCTTCCAGAATATTATAGTACCCGGAGAAACGAGATCCCAGATTTCCTCCTGTTGTTGTTGCTGCATTTGTGTATGTGTGCAAGAGAAATGGACAGATAAGCCCGAGGGAGAAGAATGCTTTAGCTTCCCTTTGGCTGCTTCCCGTTTCCTCTGTCATTTATCATGACAGTTTGTCTCCATGTTTTACTGAGGAAAAGCCAGAACAGTAAAACTGGGAAAGTGCTGATATGTTTGGTGTGTATTCTTGTTCATTTGTGTGTGTATTTTAGGAAGGATTGGAGAATGGAATTTGTTGCTTCATTGAAATGTTGAAACAAGTCAGCTTGGTTCTTCCTGTCCTCCTGATCAAATTTAATTTTCTGGCTTCCAGTGACATTCTGAGGAGCAGAAAGACTTGTCACAGAAACCAGTTAGTTTGTCCATTATGCCAGATGAATTTTTATTTAGTGATGTTTGTTCATTGTAGGACTGTGAACAATTCTAGCCTCTGCGTTGGCCCATCTCACCACACAGAGACATCTGCTGTTTTGAATCATCTGTTCCCCTCTGAGGGGGGTTTACTGCTAAAGTTATGGTTTGAGTTTATAGTGTCATCAGTCCTTTTTCAATGCATTTATGACAATTTAAGGAGCTCTTCCAAAATATAACCAAGAATTTGCTACAGTAATTTAAATCTAGTATTGTAAGAAATGCCCTTTTTTTCATTTAAATACATTTATTTACTATTTATTATTATTATTATCCATGTATTTATCCATTTTATTATTTATCATGTTCTTTTATTAATCAATTAATTAATTAATTATTATCAGGACTAAGTGCTGTTTACAAATATCAGATAAAGAAGTGTTGCAGGGCTTAAAAGGATGGTTCACCCAAAAATGACAATTCTTTCTTACTTTACTCACCCTCAAGTTGATCCAAATCTGTATGAATTTCTTTCTTCTGCTGAACACAAAAAGAAGATATTTTTAATAAGGCTAACCAAGCAGTTGATGGGCCCCCATTGGAAAAATGGTGGGGGGAAAAAATACTATGAAAGTCAATGGGGTCTATCAACTGTTTGGTTACCAACATTAATAATAATAATTCATTACATTTATATAGCGCTTTTCTAGGCACTCAAAGCGCTTCACATGGAAGGGGGGAATCTCCTCAACCACCACCAATGTGCAGCATCCACTTGGATGATGCGACGGCAGCCATATTGCCCCAGAACGCTCACCACACACCAGCTTACTGGTGGAGAGGAGACAGAGTGATGAAGCCAATCAGTGTATATATATATATATATATATATATATATAGGGATGATTAGGAGGCCACGATGGACAGAGGCCACTGGGCAAATTTGGCCAGGATGCCGGGGTTACACCCCTACTCTTTCGATAGACATCCTGGGATTTCTAATGACCACAGAGAGTCAGGACCTCGGTTTAACGTCTCATCTGAAGGACGGTGCTCTTTGACAGTATAGTGTCCCCGTCACTATACTGGGGCGTTAGGACCCACACAGACCACAGGGTGAGCACCCCCTGCAGGCCTCACTAACACCTCTTCCAGCAGCAACCTGGTTTTCTCAGAAGGTCTCCCATCCAGGTACTAACCAGGCTCAGCCCTGCTTAGCTTCAGTGGGCAACCAGTCTTGGGCTACAGGGTGATATGGCTGCTGACACACATTCTTCAAAATATCTTCTTTTGTGTTCCTTTTGCTGTGGCTGATGGCATTCCTCTTTTTGATCTCAAGTGAAATCCATGGATGTAACCATGAGCGCTGCAGGTGATCATTAGTTAAGAGCTGAGAATTGAAGGGTGCGATCAGACACTCTCTGTATGAACATCTGACAGATGGAAGGTCATCAGCGGGCAGAGTTTGGTGTGACACATTGCCCTCTACTTTTTTGATTGCTTTCTGTTTTTCCTTTAAGTTTTAAGTGTTTGCCCAGTGGAACTGCTCTCTGACATCCCAAACTCAATGTGACAGATCATTAGGGGAGTCTTGACATTAGGAGGCCACCCTGAGGGGCAAATTTGAGTCCGACAGGAGATCACTGCAAGTCACACAAACACCTGTCCATCACAGAGTTCGAGAAACATGAAGCGCTTAGCAAATCCCACTGCTGACACCAGTGAGTTCAATCACCCTGAGAAGGATCCCAGCTGAGCAAGGCCCCGGAGCGACGGCGAGAGAGTGACGGCACACTCTCTGGGAGGACGAAACACTTTAACAAAGTTCAACAGATGAGAAAGAGGGAGGAAAATGATGTAGAAAGTCAGTCAGGTTGCGCGTTATAGAGGTAAAAATACACACATACAATTTGCGCACCCCTCTTTTCTCAAACGTTTGAATGCCCTTTTTGAATGTAAATCTTTAAGATGAGTTCTTTTTTTGTGAGTGATTTAAATATTGAAAATATCCTGAATCAGTACAGCCCTGACATAACTGATGTTGACAAAAAAAAAAAAAAAGACTTGCTCGGTACAAATTGACCTCCTCAAAAGATAACACATCCTTCGTTTTTCATATTGTGTGTTGCCTTAAACATTAGTGACTGTTTGCAGTCATTTTGATTTGGATGAAACTGTAAATGTCATACAGGCAATATGGATTGGTATTATTGGAGTCAAAGAATAGAAACAAGGCTCATGACTTTAGGCCAACTAACTGGAAAATAATAAGCAGTGTAATCTTTTTACCAGGTCGTCAAACTTAACAGCTCTGTGACTGTGATGTCTATAATTTGTCTATAAGTGTTGCTGAAATAAAATCAGACATCCAGAAGAATAACATTTTAGATGTCATTTTCAATAGTTGTGGAAATCAATAATCTTGCTCTTGATCATTGTCAAGATCTCATGAGCTAATTAAAGAAAAAACATTATTTTTATTATTATTTTTTTTGAGAAATTGTTTTCTAATATTGAACAGTCAAGACTGTCCATCTGGTTTAAATACTTGGTTCAATCAACTCAAGATAAAGTGAGAAAGCAGACTAAATTTTTATTTTTGGATCAAAGAGTTCAAGGCCCGGTTGCATAAAAGCCCTTGAGTTAAGAAAATACCTAAGGGTCCACTTAAGAAACCTTAAGGCTGTCATTAAGTATTTTCCCTTAATTACTTGTTCCCTTAAGTTCTGTTATGCATTGCAACCAAATCCTTAGTAACCATTTAGCCCTAAAAAAAAAATAAAGGGATAAAAACGGGTCCCTCAAGTCGAACGCGATTATTTCGTGTTAATTGAGGAGGAAGTGCATTTTTAGCGATCAGAATAAGCCAGTTAAAAAGTATGACGTGAGACTGTGTATTGTCAAAAATAAAATTTTGCTTGGTTTTTTTTCCCTCCGTCTTTTAAAAGAATTGTTTTTTGTTTTTTTGTCCTTGGTTCTTCTTTCGTGCTTAATTTCAAGGCTGCAAAATCTAATCAAATCACCAAACAGATAAAATGGCGTTGATGCATGAGTACAATACAACGAGTTGGATAAATATAATGCTATTTAATGGAAAACTATGCGAGTTGCGCAGAAGGATTTGGTGTCGTAGCTAGAGTCATAGAAATAATGTGCTCGAATTTTAGAACCCTCTGTGTCCGTCAGACTGCCTTTAATAATCTCCATAACTCAAAAATTGTAGTTACAGCTGTATAGTTTAGTAAATATAAAATTTGTTAAAGTCAGTGGTCTGTTATGTTCTGTTTATTGTGGGAGATTACATAACTATAGCAACTCCTGCTTCATTGCCATATTTTGTCAGACACTATCGTAAAATGCTTCGTATAAACACTTACGCAAGGGTGACCGTTAAGACGTTTGTTGCAATGCTCTTAAAGGAATCTCTTGCCTCAGGGATTTTTTTTCTCCCCTCTGATGGTGGCGCTACAGAGTTTCACTACCAAACCCCTTAATAGATAAAGGGAGTCCTTTGGCCACCCCAATTGTATTCCAAGTATTTTGGGTATTTGGATTTGTTTTTAATGAACTGAATCATCTACTTGACGGCAGACTCAGACCTCCATTAATGGCAGAAGTTCTGATTGGATGAATTCCAGGCACATACCGAACATTTTTACAGTCATTCATAAATGCTCATCATTTGATGTAACCAATTCAGAAAGATTTTTGTTTTGTCTTCAATATTATTCCCCTTCTATTCTGAACAGTCGTGACATTTTCGTGAATATCGCACTGACTCCTTATCTCCACCTCCTTGCTGCTGTTCAAGTTTCACAGCGGTACTTGACAAACTTCATTTCCTCTGCCTCCTCTGGCCTTTCTTCTGAGATCAAGAATGTAAAGTGTGTATTCAGAAATGGCAGAAAGGCACTTCGCCTATGCGCTCGGCATTTTTTTCTCACAGTTTAGAGTTGCCGGTATCTAGGCCACTGAGTGGGCCAGAACTTCAGAAAAGTTTTTATTCCCTTTGTGTATTCAAAATGGCAGAGTCTGGTGCATTGTTGGATTAGAGGCGCTCTTTGTGACCGCACAATTTGCCTGTTTGGGGCTTAACACCACGCGCTATCGACTGCCGCCCTCTTATTTTTCATTTAGGATTCCGATCAGGTCCTGGCAGAAGTAGATTTTGCTGAACATAAAATTCAATTTCAGTGCTTAATCAATAATATCCCTGAAATAGAAGTTGGCAGCTTGGTTCTTGGTATGGATTTAGGCATCTCACGGCAACGCTGAAAGAAAAAAAGACTCATACTCGTATGACTAACGGTATTTTTGGAGCAGAAAAAAGGTTTTTGAAGTAATTCAGCAGAGAGATGTTTTAAAAAAAAATCTTCAACAGCTGCACACTGCAGTAAATGTATGACATTAATTTTATATGAATATGATGCAACCATACACCATCAATGCATATATAATACATTACATACACTAACATCATACAGCCTAGATGGTCTCAGTGCTATACAGACATAGACTGAAAGCCTTTTGGATTCTAAAGCTTTTTGTTTTTAAAGAGTACTACTAGCCTAGTACTACACTAATACTAAGAGCTAAAGCAGCCATTGTTCTGCTTTAATGCGAGACTACAGTTAAAGGCCCCCTGAAATCAAAATGTAAGTTTTTTTTTTTTTTTTGCTTTTAGGATGAATATGTTAGCCTAAAGGTTACGAATAAGCTGGTGTGTTCAAAAACAATGACAAAATTCGCATTTAGGAGATATAAGCATTCAAACCTTAGTCTCTCACTTCCGCTAAATAGGATCACGGATTTTTATGACATCACCGCCGACTTCAGCTTCTCATCACATCTTCTGTCCAATCAAATGTTCTCTAGAATCTAAAGCGTCCCGCCCCCTATGCTATAAATACCACCTGGCCAAAGGGACCGTTGACACGGAGCAATATGGGTTCGGTTGTTCAAACGATCAAGTTTTTATTCCGTTTTGTCTCAAATGTATTCACACCTCTACTATTGAATCCAGCGTATCAGCGCTCGGATTCACTTCCATGGTGCTGTCAAGTACGACTTGCAGACTGAGAGTTAAACTAAATGCTATTGGCTATTTGAAAAGGGTGAGGAGCCATTCAATATGTCCCGCCTTAGCTTCCTGTTTCAGCGGAAATTGTCAACGCATCATACAAAGCTGCGCTTTCCTAGGCACTTCAGAGCCTATAAATTGCAATGAATGGATTTTGACTCCATGGGGCTTATTCTTTCCCTCCTCTTTTAAAGTATGCTGAGTCATGAAGCATGCTCAGTGATGTCATTTCCTTTTGTCGCTGTATTTGGCTCTTGGAGTTCCTCCATGGAAAGGTTTGTGTAATTCAAACTAAACTGCCAAATTGTCAACTGTAGGGGAGTTTACTTTGCCCCATTTTGTCAAAGCACACAGCTGAAAAAAAGCACACAGCCTCCACAGCTGTATCCCTCAGCCCTCCTGATCGGAAGATTAGCATTTATATATTTCAGGCATTTTCCATCCATGGAAATGCTAAATAAGTAATTAGTTATCTGCTACCCGCAGACAAGCTTTGCCATCCTCCATAGAAACTGATTGTATCTACTCAGTCGGAAGTTTTATTTCCAGATGAGTTTCTTCCAAAGTGAACCCCAACTAGAACTGGAAAATTACATCTATATTGGATTTTTTTTTCCATCAGCTTACGAAATGCATTTGATGGAATATGTAATGTTTCCTTACTTCTGCTTGATTCCAGAATGTTCTGAAACTGAAATGAATCAGTTCCACATTATTTACAGCGTTTTAGGTGGACATTTTTAAGTTGGTACAGTTACAGTGGGGACAACAAGTATTTGATACACTGCCATTAGTAACACACTACGCCGTCAGGTGCCTTTTATACAGGTAACGGGTTCAAACAGGTGCATTTAATACAGGTAATGAGTGGAGAACAGGAGGGCTTCTTAATAAAGAGAATTAGTTAGTTTCTTATAAAGAGAAACTAACAGGTTTGTGAGAGCCGGAATTCTTACTGGTTGGTAGTTGATCAAATACTTATGTCATGCAATAAAATGCAAATGAATTGCTTAAAAATCATACAATGTGATTTTCTGGATTTTTGTTTTGGATTCCGTCACTCACAGTTGAAGAGTACCTATGATAAAAATGACAGACTTCTACATGCTTTGTAAGTGGGAAAACCTGCAAAATCGGCAGTGTATCAAATACTTGTTCTCCCCACTGTATAATTCCATGTGTTTAGGCCTTCTCCTCCTATTAGTGCCAGTTGCAGTCCATATGTTCATAATAATTGACAGCTGAGGGTGCATTTATTTTCACTATTTAGCAGGCAAGGATGGCCATCAGCTTCCAATGTGCATTTGTGGACTGCATTGTGTTATTGTGTTTTGTCTTGTTGCTTTTTGAAATATTGACACTTGTTTGTGAACAGAATGAGTGTTGATCTTCTCACTAGAGACTCAAACAGCAGGCCTGCACATGCTTTAACTGAGTTTACGCAGCAGTCAAACCCTGTAGCATTTCTCCGTGGAGAGCAGAGAGGCGTCTTTAAAATAAAATTAATAAAAATGCTGTCATTTTGGCATGTGCTGGCACATCTATTTGTTATTGCTATCACTCTTGGAATTTGTTGTTTTTTAGATTTGTTGTCTAGATCACTTTTTTCCCATCTTGTTAATGATTTGAAAATATATTTAGGTCTGTGTGGTCAGCAATAAATGAAAGCAAAATGTGAAGGGTTGACTCACTGGAATAGTTTTTAAGTTGTTTGCACCACACTGCATTTTAATTGCTTGGGGGTGTTTTTATCACTGTCAGATATCACACCAAACACTAAGCACATTAAAAATACTCATTATATTGATGTCTTTTGTGTTCCAGGGAGGTCTGTAATTCATGGAGATTTGTGTTAGTGATCCGTGTTAGCATTCCCATTCATCTTAATGGTACCCTCCAAAAGTATGATTTGAGATTTTGGCTCATAGGTGCTCAATTCTATGAACTACCTTGTTTTATTTGTAGCAAACTTTAAGGAAAATCTTCATTATTGTTAGAATAACACCGTGCCCTAAACAGATGTGCCGCGATAAAAGTGATCTTTTTCATGTAATCAGAGTTTTTGTCCTAACCAGCTGCGACGATTCTATTTTAGAAATGATTTCTATTTCTGCGACGTCTTGGCTGGAACAACAGAAAGTATATGATATGATAATATAAGGTACTGCTTATGTGCTTTATTTAATGTTAAAAGTGTCTAATGTGAGTTTGAATATCATTTTGTGTCTTGTACTGAAAGCAACAATGGATAACTCGGTATGTATTTTTAATAATGTTAAAATTGTGTAATATTCATGAATTTGATTATGTATTATCCATTTCATTGCGAGTGCCAGAGAGAGCCAGACCACGCGCTCTTCTGACTGGCGGATATTTTTGATTGACTTTATCGCGTCTCTGGTGTGGACAGACAAACTATTTGTCGCTGGAATCTTATCGCATCTCGTCTGGTTAGGACATTGTGTAATCGCTATGGCAATGAAGAAAAATGTAATTCGTGGAAGTAGCAATGCTTGAAAACTGAGAATATATGTCCCCTAAATGTCACTTTGTTCCGTTTCAGACCTTGGTGGATTTCTTTAGTGAGAAGAAGTGTCCCATCACTGAGAGACTAAAGATGTTCTACACCTGCCGGGCGCCTCCTCTCTGGGATCTACAGGTGACCTGAATTCCTGTTTGTTTAATTGAGGCTTCTGGTTTCTCAAAATGATTGTTTTAGAATCACTTATCATGTATTATATTTACATTTACATTTATTCATTTAGCAGACGCTTTTATCCAAAGCGACTTACAAATGAGAACAATAGAAACAGTTAAACTAACAATAGGACAACAATATGCAAGTGCTATGACCCTTCCCAGTTTAATCTAACATGTACATGTACTTTATTTTTTTTATTTTACTTTTTATAAATAGATATAGAATCGAATAGAAGAGAAAGTATTAAAGTGGGGACTTTCCATAAACTTTCCATTTTTTCTCAGTGACATTAATTTATGATTATTAATTAACCCGAAGCAGGTGACATTTTTAGATGATTAAAGATGGTTTGTTTTTAAGATGGTTGATTTATTTATGAAACTTGGATCTTTCACAATGTTTTTTTTATACATTTACTCTCCAAAGTTGGTCAAAAAAACAAACAGACAATAAATACAGACCAAGAAAGAAGTTCCTGTGATGTACATGCACAACATTTATTATCAATCTCTTAAAGTACTCATTCTCTCTAGTGCTGGAATAGGAAGATATCCTTCCTTAGGTCTGGAGAGCTTAGTGTTAACGAATGAACAAACGAACGAACAAACAAACAAAACTGTGTGTAGTTGATCATGACCTGTGAATACATGAAAGAGAATTTTGGGTTGGGTTTAACTGGGACCCATTTGACCCTTGATTGAGTTTTTTCCCTACATTTTCTCATCTTAATTATGTCTGAATTTATTCCCATGTAGGGAATAATTCACATATTATAAAGCCAGATTACCTGAGTTAATTTGAAATGGAAATGATTGACTCATTTGTTGGTGCCCAAATTGATTTGCTTGCATATTTTCTCTCATTACTAGACTCACAAGTGCATTGAGCTAATCACCTCAAATGAGCATGGGCAGCCATTATTTATTTATTTATTTATCTACTTCTCAAAAACCCATTTCGGTAAACACAACAGCTGGGTTATACAGCCAGTGTCGTGTCAATAAGAGCTTTGGCAGATAGAATATGAAATTCATTTCTCGTACACTGTGAGGGCATCCAGGGATACGGGATGATGAGTTCATTTTGACAGCGTTTGTCAGGTAATAGAACAACCTGGAACTATCACTTCCTGTCTGATTGGGCAATAATGGAACTAATGAAAAACAAACAAATGTTTCCTGAAGTGAGAGATTGTTAAACAAGTGAATAAATCATGGAAAAAAATTGTTTGGTGGATTGTAACAGGCCAGCATGGATGAAGGGTTTTGAAAGAAAAGGAATGAAATGACTGAATGGAGAAAGAGAGTGAGTGGGTGGAGGGAGAGATGGATAGATGAAAAGAAGGGAGGGCTGATGTGATCAGTCCTGTGGATGACATTGCTCGCGCTCTGTGTAATAACAGTGAACAGCAATAAAGCTGGAATTGAAGTTGCTTCTATTGCTGGCAGGGGAATAGAACGCAGCAAAACGGCAAGCTAGAGAGAGACGAGAACAGCATGCAGCCAGAGAAATGTTGTGTGTGTGTGTGTCGAGGTAAAGAGATGGCAGAGCCTTGTTTTGGTTTGTTTTTTTGAAAAGAACAGATTTCTGAAATTGTCGGATTTGCTTTCAGACTGGATCATTTTGGCATGTATGAATCAGGATTGTGTTCAGTGTGGCAGATGAAATGAATGAGAATGAAAACAGAACAGTTGCACAAATGGGGCTCTGACAATACTGTACCACTACAGATTAAAGTCCCACTCCGATCATATTTTGAGCTATTTGTAAACATTCCCAGTGGTCTTTAAATTATGATTATGCCATTTTTAGCCAAACTCACAAAACCTGTGCCGTTTTCTGGGACTTTGCTTCAGCAGAGCGGCAGTAGCTCATTAGCAATTCGCCTCTGCGTTGTGGGCGGAGCCGTTGGCACGGAGACGACCCTCCCCCTCCCCGTTGCTGAGAGCTCTGTCTCTCCCGCTAGCTTACACCCCCAACCTGTCATTACCGGTGCAACAAAAATTGAGAGCAATATTGGAGCTATCCAGCCGTACAGTGCGTTTTCGTTTTAAAACGCATAACTTTTGCAACGATTATGCGCTCCTGCCGTCCACATTACTGACCCTCGGCCTCGAAAACGGAGACTGACCCCTTCAGTCGAGTCCGATGCAAGTCAGCAAGTGACGCAACCCATAGCAACGAGTCATGGCAACGACAGCTCAAACCGACAGAAACATACAAGTAAACGTGAATTTTGTCACATTGTCATGTTAATTATAATCAAATGCATTTTGTTTTATTGAAAACAATATTATCATTGATATTTGTTTGAGAGGGGCACTTTCGATTAATTTTAACAAGCTTGTGGCCCCGCCCAGTGGAGTTACTACGTCACAACTCCAGTCTATTTTAAACGGCATTTTAGCGTCTGCTACTGATTCACAGCCATTTGAATGTAGAAATACTCAGAAATACAACTTTGAGCTTATTTTTCTCAAGATATGTCCTCTAACATAAGAAAAATGCCACAAGAACATGTTAACACCTAGAAAAACATTATTTTCATCGGAGTGGGTCTTTAAACTAGCAATTAACAAATTCAAATAAGTAACATTAGGCAAATAAATAAGAAACAAACTAAAGATTAATCTTAAGATGAAAGAAAAATAAGACTGAAAGTGTTGATGCAGAGCACAGCTCTGTGTGTGTGTGTGTTTGTTTCTCTTTCTCCAGATTAGTTAGTATCATCACGTTTTGTCTCCTGGCTGATAGATCACATGATCACCGGCAGCCTCACCGGTGTATATATCTAGATTTATAGGTACCCATAATGCCTGTGGGACGTGATATGCCACTGGAGGTGGGGGGGGGATTGTCACAGGACAGAAAGGTGAAGGAGAAATTGAGCAGGAATTAAACATTTCCTGCAGTGAAACTGCTTGCAGCTACGTGTTTGTGATGTCTTGCTGATATCAGAGGTCGAGGGTGAAGTCAGTTCAGGGCATGTTTGCTGTCCACAAATATAGAAGTTTTACACATCATAATCATCAGTACTGTATATGATCTCCAGTCGGGTCGGTGCACATCTCAGTATGTTTATTACCAGAAATACATGGACGTGCAGTGGACACAGCCTGTGACTCTTGATCCATCCGTTCTCAAATGACCAGGGCTGCGTTTCCCAAAAGCATCGCAAGCCTAAGTTGATCATAGAGACCTTTGGTGGCAGTGGTTCTACGATCAATCTGCTTTTGGGAAATGCAGCCCTGAATGACAAAAGGAGTTGAAAGAGTGTAAACACATTTGACCTGTAGCATTCCTCAGAGACCGACGAGGGTCATTAATAGCACAGATGTATATATAGCTGCTGCCTGTGAAGCGTGACATCGTGGAGATAGAAGGATGGTTGTCCTCGGAATGCATCCTTTTAGAAAGAGGGTGAGGAAAAAAAAGACAGAATATGAGAGAAAAGATGGTGAGAGACAGAGCATACTGTATCCCTAATTTATTTTATTTATTTTAGATTTTATTATATTGTGTGTGTGAATAATTTTTTTATAATGTAGGTCGAGATTTGAACTTTAGTCCCCATTCAGTCTATATAAAATGTAAAAATAGGTTTAAAAAACTATTTTAAAGTGCTGATTTGGTCATTTCAAATAGGTCACAAAGTGAACTAGGACTGCCTTGAAACAAAAAAAAAGCCCCTGGTGATATCTATAGTTTAACTTTAGTGCAAAGATAAACCAGAGTGAAATGAAAATCACTGAACTCATTACGCTTATTTGTGTATTTTTGATTTTTGGGCTGTGTCCACATGCTAAATGTATATTTTTGAGTGCCTCCCACATGCTGTGTGTATTTACAGGCAGGTGGGCCGCATGTTGACTGATCTTGGCTTACTGTTTGTGTGTATTTAGAGGCAGTTGGCGAGTCTGTTGACTGATTTGGGCCTGACGAGTTCTGCGCTGCTGATCTATGAACAACTGGAACTCTGGGAGGATGCAGTTGTCTGCCTGGAGAGAATGGGACAGCACGGCAAGGTACGCTACTCGCATGCAACCAATCAGTTCAAATGAATAGTCCTGCCTCAAACTTATGCCATTGGTTGAGCCAATGTTGCCTTGTCAGACCGATCGTTATGTTCAAATGAACAGATCAGTGCTTTGATTGTCCCAGTTGACAGTGTTTACTCTTCAGGGAAATCAGTCTTCAAGTGAATTACTTACCGTTGTCTCTACATATTAAGATGGGATAAGAGAAAGTGACTTCTGTTAAAGGTCTTGAAGAGCAATTGATTGCAAATTTTCCCCTCACATCCATCTCTTCTTTTTTTCCTCCCTGTCTCTCCTCCTTATATGAGCTCCATGCTCTAACAACGTGTGTGTGTGTGTGTGTGTCTGTCTGTCAGTGCAGTTTTCTGGGAGCTATTTCAGAGTTTTATTAAGTTACCGTCCACTTTGTGTACCAATCAGATTATAGGGTACCTCTGAGGTCAATAAAACCACCCAATCACCCCCAATCTGAGTTGTAATAATATAAAAATGTACTCCACTCTACTGTAGTACCTGAGGTACTGACTCACTCTACTTTTCCCTGCACTCATGTTAAAGTTTAAAGTCATAAACTGCAGGTATGCATATAAAAGAATGTATAAGATAGAATACAGAGACAGGCGTAAGGGAGTGACACTTCATATGAGAGGAAAGAAATTGGTGAAAAATGAGAGAGAAAGTGAGATAAGAAAAAGGTGTCTATACAAAACAGCAAGGCTGGAATTTTTTTCTTTGTTAGTTTTTCTGATGGATTAAAGGAACACTCCGACTTTTTGGGACTTTAGCCTATTCACCTTATCCCCCAGAGTTAGATATTAGTCCATACATACCTTTTTCATCTCCGTGCGTGCTATAAGTCTGTTTGACGCACCCACCGCTAGCCTAGCTTAGCACAAAGACTGGATGTAAATGGTTGCAGCTAGCATACTAATCCAAATAAGTGACAAAATAACGCAAACATTTTCCTATTTACATGTTGTGATTTGTATAGTCACAGAGTGTACAAAAAACAAAGTCACATGAGACAGACATATTTTAACCGTATATATACTGGGAACTATATTCTCTGAAGGCGAAGCACTGCTACTTGGGCGGAGTGATAACCGCAGCACCTGAGACCCGCCGTGGTGAGGAGCTGAGAGCGCGTCTCAGGTGCTGCGGTTATCACTCAGTGTTATCACTATCACTATTCTATCTTATAAATTCCGCCCCTTCCTCTTTAGGCAATTATTGTCCATCTGAGTCTAAACTGCATTTAATACCTGAAGCTCTAGATGTTTTCCCCATTTCAGCACAAAGGGAATAACAATTTAGCAGTTTTAGTATTTATTTCATTGTAGTAAAATTATTTAGTTTCACTTATTTTGTAGTTTTCTGTCAATTGTTTTTAGATATACATCCAAAATACTGCAAAAAAAATTTATCATTGAGATCTCATATGAAATTAATAGAAAATAAATGAGCTTATATAATATTTAGTTTGATCTCCTTAAGTTGATGAAAGTTTTCTGAAGGTTAAGCACCTGCTTTCATGACTTTGTTTTTGATATATATATATATATATATATATATATATATATATATATATATATATATATAAAAAATCTCCTTTTACTTTTCCTTCTCCTCCTTCTCCTTTTCCTTCTTCTCCTCCTCCTCCTTTTCCTTCTCCTCCTCCTCCTTTTCCTTCTTCTTCTTTTCCTTCTCCTCCTTTTCCTTCTTTTCCTTCTTTTTAAAGGAAAGATAATAAATAAAGTAAATAAATAAAAAGGTTTTTTTTTTTTTCAAGGGTTTAAAAATGGTCAACATGGTATCGGCACCAGAATGTTTCAGTGTCCCTTCTGAAAGTGAAACTGGCAACCTGGCTTGGATTAGCATCCATTTGTGTTGTTGGCAGCCATGAGATCCAGCCGCCTGCAGCCTCACCGTGCCTGACTGGGCTACACAAACTTTGTTGTTTGTGGCCAATGGGAAATGTGCAGTTAATAATGGCTCCAAGGAGCATTCAAGTGCTGTCAAAACCTCAAGGGCTCTCTTTCTCTTCTGTATTTCTCTCTCTTACCTCGTCTTATCAGTGTTGTTCTAATAAAACGGAAATATGAGACTTTTTGTACCCGAGTAAATAGCTTATTCATCCTCTGTCTGGGCCTTCAGGTTTTACTTTTTTTATGTAACTGTCTATTGTGTCGAGTAGAAAGAGATATTGTTCCCACTTCTCAAATTATTTGTTCCCACGAAAATAAATAAGTACCCAAATAGAAGTGCTGACCAAGTAATGTGAATTTTATTGCCGCCCACCCCCTCTCTCCCACTACAGCTTCAGTTCTAAGCGTTTGCAAAAAGCCCTTTATCCTTCCATCCCCATGAGCACTAGCAGGGGTGGAAGGGCAGGAGCCGATGAGAGATGCACTGTGTAATATAGCGCAACGTCCAGCGTATTTCAGAGTGAAGCCACATTCACAGTGACTGTATAAGGTGGATACTAAGATACTAGTATTGATTTTGGATACTAGCAATGTCTGTAAGTGATTTTTTTTTTTCTTTAGGAACTGTTTTAGTAATGTGCTTAATAATAATAATAATAATATAAAAAGAATATAGCAACATCAATTGAACAATTGTCATCAATTGAATCCTTACACACTATATGGCCAAAGGTATGTGGACACCCAAATGCCACACCCAATTACAAAACCATTGGCATTAATTGGGACTGAGTCCTTTGTAACAGTTTACACTCTTGTGTTAAGATTTTGCACTAAATTTTGATCAATTTTCTGGTTTTGCTCCTATTTAGACACAATTATCGGTAACACTTACAATAAGATCCCATTGCTTAACTTTAGTTATATTACTGGGCAGTTGAATGCTTGAATCTGATTGGTTGGCGAACTTATATACGGTAATAATAGCATACAAGCTACTTTTACAACCGATTTTAAGATACTTTTACAACAGATAGATAGAACAGATACAACTTTTGATTTTGAAATGATCATGAACTAAGATTAATAAATGATTTACAAGTATTTTTCATCGTTAATTTGTTAACTAATTCAGTTAACTAATGTTAACAAATGGAACCTTATTGTAAAGTGTTACCAAATTATCTGAATGGTCCAATTCATCCCAAAGGTATTCAGTAGAGTTCAGGGGCCTCATTTATAAAACTTTGCGTAGGATTTGCGTCAGAAGTGGCGTACGGATGAAACATAGGACGTGCGTACGCACAGAAATATTCGGATTTATAAAACAGTGCGCGCGCACATCCTACGCATTTTTCCCTTAATAAATCACAATCAATTCTAAATGTAGCGCAGCTTTTGCGGCTTCATGTCACGCCCATAGTTGCCCATAAATAGTCTGTGAAACGCCCACAAGTTAATATTCATCGATTGCGAAATCATGGCAAACATAGAGAGGAAATAAAAAAAACGTACTTTCACTCAATGTGAAGTAAAAGTTATCGTTGGCGAGGTGGAAAAGAGGAGAAAAAATGTTGTTTGGAGGGCACAGTGTGGGCATTAGCCTACTAATGTCAAAAAGGCACTTGAGTGGCAAAAGGTTGCAGACGCCATAAATGCTGTAGCCTCACAACCTCGGACTGTGGCCGAAATAAAAAAGAAATGACAAGCTACAGATGTCGGTTATAATCTACTTGGAAATGGGAAATAGTTCAGTGCAAATGTAATTTCTTGCAGCTTTCTGAATGGTTGAGACATACGTCATACTTTATTTTATCAAAAATAAAACAAACTAAAGGCATATGCATGAAATACCTGCATGAATACCATGATTCCGTAGCTGATAAAGACATTTTTACTATGAAAACAACTTTCCCCAGTGGACAAATAATACATCTATCTATTTATCTATCTATCTCTCCCTAATTATCTATCCATCTGACTGACTAGCTATATCTAGCTATATCTGCTCCGCCTGACGGACACATTGGCGAGAATATCAGTTTTGTACATTATTTCGTTCTGTTTACCATCTTATTTATGAGGATGAATTGTATAACATGCCAATATTATTGCAGAACATATTTCACTTTTCTTTTTGCAAATATGTGTTAATTTGCATTTTTGTTGCAGATCGATCAAACGGGTGTTCGTGTAGGCTGTTAATTGTAATACTTGCTTTGTGACGTCTTCGTGTTATTTATGAGGCAGTATTGCCATTTATTTTACACAACGGTCTACAGTTTCACACACTTTCACGTGTTTCTTCCATCTGCCGACGGTGTCGCCATTTCTCAGTTCACCCGTTTCTGTGCGTACGCCTGGGTCAGAGCTTGCGTGAAGGACCGCACATTTTACCGTCAAGTTTGCTTTTTATAAATACCAATTATTGCGTAGAGAGCGGCGTACGCCTTTTGTGCGTACGCAACGTTTATAAATGAGGCCCCAGGTCTAGCTTCATGCAGGACAGTCCAGGTCTTCCACATCAGATTGAGTAAATCATTTCTTGCATGTCTTGCTGGAATAGAAAATACACTCCCTAAATTGATGCCACAAAGTTTCAGCACACAATTCCCTAGAATGTCTTTATATTGGATGGCATTTTAACTGGAATTAAGGGGCCTTGTCAAACCCAATAATTAGAGGTCTCCACATACTTTTGGCCATGTACGTTTTCCAATTTGAGGATTAAATTAGTCAGTTGCTTTAATCTGCTGGAACGTTCTCTCTCTCAGGCGGAGGAGATTTTGAGACGTGAGCTGGAGAAAAAGGAGACGCCGTCGCTTTACTGCCTGTTAGGTGATGTGCTGAAGGATCCGCAGTATTACGACCGTGCATGGGAGCTTTCCAAACACCGCAGCGCACGTGCCCAACGGTCCAAAGCTCTGCATCACCTGCGCCACAAAGAATTCCAGCAGTGCGTGGAATGTTTTGAACGTTCACTGCGAATCAACACAATGCAGGTATGATGTACACTTGTGTGTAACTTTATAGTACTTAACGTCTTCAAGTTTACAGGAAAGAAAGATGCATGGTTTGGTTAACCACCCATACCCCTTTTCCACTAAAATGGTGCAGGTGTTCAGCCGGGGAATCTGCAAACTTTTGGCAGAATTGGACAGCATTTCTATAGACAGTTATGCTGCCATTCGGTTCTCAAGTCATTGTTCCAAAACACAACAAATAAACCTTTACAACTCTTACAAGTTTTTAAAACATATTTACGTTCAAAGTCATTTGAGTTTCTATTTACAGTCATTTGATTTAACCATCAAAAGTTATAATGTAGAAAATTCTTAGCAATAAATTAAATATTATTTGTAAATAAATAATAATTATAATAGTAATTGTAAATAATAAATGAAGAGTCTTAAGAACTTAGTGAAAATATTTAACATTCATATGCATTTATTTAGTATTTTTATGGCACTTTCAACATAATGGTCAGCACTTAGTCAAATAACTGATACAATTCATAAAATCATTTGCAGATATGGAAATTGATTGCCATTTTAGACAAACAGGCACAAAGTGGCTGGAGCCACTTGTGCAGCGCAACATACTTTATCAGTCCCTCCAGAAAAACACGATTATGCGATTGCTGAATTCAACGCATAATCAGCCAAAGTCCACATATTTATGCGGGGGCCGCATTTTTTTCAAATACTCCGCAATTTCGCCGCATAAATTGCTGATTTCCGCGCAAAATATGCGGGGCTTGCATGATTTTATAATCCCCGCATTTTCGTCGCAAAAAAGTCACATATATCTTAGCAGAAAGTTGGAAAATGTTGCGTTTGCTTCACACAAGAGCAGCCATTTCCCCCTGTTGCCATGGGAACGTTATGAAGTGACGTAATTACGCGACGTGAACATCATCGAAAAGCTGTAAAACAGGAGCACACTTTATTTTTAAATATTTCATTTATTCATTTTTACTGAAGTTGTAGCATATTCCTCCAGTAAAGCTACAGAACTTGTTTGACTCATCAATGTTTTGTAAGTTTGATGTGTTTATTAAGGTCTTGTAACGCGTTGTGTCGGGAAGAAAAATAGGGATAGCTCACAGCTGAAGATATTGCAGAGGCCAGACAGACTCACGGAGGCGATTGGCATCTCACAACTCGCACTTTATTCCCAAATCGAACTTGTATAACGTTAACTGTCTGTCACACGTTCTACCGTCCACATCGTTACTTAATAAACAAAATAAGATAAAAGAAGTAGCATCAAACAGAAATTACCCGCACACATGGGGTGTTCGAGCCACATGGCACATACAATATAATACTGCAGACGGTTCAACAGGGAGCGCGCAGCTCTTAAAGGGGCCACACCTTATTTCCACTCGTTACAGTCTGAAATAAAACAAGATGAGAAATTAAATATTTCCTGCACTTTCTGTGATGTAGTATGCTTTCTTATCATAGGAGGTAATAAGAAATGACTCTTTACATTAAAGCAGCACTAAGTAGGAATTCCGTTTTTGTCAAACAGCGACCCCTAGAGTCGCTGTGGAGTACTTGTACTGTCGTGAATAGCACTCACGCAGAGATGGCTCGCACTCACGGCCGGATCCCCTCCCCCTGTACACCGGTACCTGTTCAGTAGGATGGACGCTGTAACGAGTGGAAATAAGGTATGGCCCCTTTAAGAGCTGCGCGCGCCCAACACCACATGTGTACTTTTACTTCAGTACTTCAGAATTTTATCAGATCTGTTTTTTGCCATAAAGCAATTCGTTACCTCGCGAGACCTGATATCACACGATACTTCCTAACACTGAGGCCGGCGGCTCGCCGGCCCAAAGTTGGAAGGGTGCTTTTGCGGCTCACAGGCACCAGGGGGGTGCGAGACGACCACCATTCAACATGAAATCAGTAATATAAACATTACAATGACTCCAAAGCTGTTCGGTTAAGGTAAAAAAAGTTACTTAGTTCACCTTTAACCCTCTGGGGACCAAGGTGTTTTTGGGGTCCTTGAGATGTTTTGACATGCTATGACATTTGTGCTTTTTTCAGTTGCTTATAAACATATTAATGGCACAGGTGAAATTACACTGTATTTAGCACAAACAGGTCTACCATAATGTGTGAGCAACATGTATGTACATGTTTGTATTTTTGAGGGAATATTGTTTATGCATGGTTATTGAAAAAACTAAAAAATTAAGTTTTTGAAATAAGGACACAAAAAACATACTAAATATGTGTCCACAAGACTTTTGACTAATGTACGTTGTCGTCTAGAGTTTTTGCTTCAAAATGATCTGAAAATCATCCTTCCTAATCATTCACATAAAACAATAGATTGTTTTAAATTGTGAAAAACATTTTTTTGTTTGCCAAGGCAATATGCGGATGGGCGGAACGGCCCAACCCCTATCATGAATAATTAAGTGGTTCTCAGACAGTGACCCTGCATAATAATGAGCCTTTCATTCAGGGGTGTCACACAAGAAAGAATGCAAGGACAATATATATATATATATATATATTGTCATTCCATTCTTTCTTGTGTATATATATAGCCTACATATATATATATATATACACTCACCGGCCACTTTATTAGGTACCCCATGCTAGTAACGGGTTGGACCCCCTTTTGCCTTCAGAACTGCCTCAATTCTTCGTGGCATAGATTCAACAAGGTGCTGGAAGCATTCCTCAGGGAGTTTGGTCCATATTGACATGATGGCATCACACAGTTGCCGCAGATTTGTCGGCTGCACATCCATGATGCGAATCTCCCGTTCCACCACATCCCAAAGATGCTCTATTGGGTTGAGATCTGGTGACTGTGGAGGCCATTTTAGTACAGTGAACTCATTGTCATGTTCAAGAAACCAATTTGAAATGATTAGAGCTTTGTGACATGGTGGAAGTAGCCATCAGAGGATGGGTACATGGTGGCCATAAAGGGATGGACATGGTCAGAGACAATGCTCAGGTAGGCCGTGGCATTTAAACGATGCCCAATTGGCACTAAGGGGCCTAAAGTGTGCCAGGAAAACATCCCCCACACCATTACACCACCACCACCAGCCTGCACAGTGGTAACAAGGCATGATGGTTCCATGTTCTCATTCTGTTTACGCCAAATTCTGACTCTACCATCTGAATGTCTCAACAGAAATCGAGACTCATCAGACCAGGCAACATTTTTCCAGTCTTCAACTGTTCAATTTTGGTGAGCTCTTGCAAATTGTAGCCTCTTTTTCCTATTTGTAGTGGAGATGAGTGGTACCCGGTGGAGTCTTCTGCTGTTGTAGCCCATCCGCCTCAAGGTTGTGCGTGTTGTGGCTTCACAAATGCTTTGCTGCATACCTCGGTTGTAACGAGTGGTTATTTCAGTCACTGTTGCCCTTCTATCAGCTCGAACCAGTCTGGCCATTCTCCTCTGACCTCTGGCATCAACAAGGCATTTCCGCCCACAGAACTGCCGCTCACTGGATGTTTTTTCTTTTTCGGACCATTCTCTGTAAACCCTAGAGATGGTTGTGCGTGAAAATCCCAGTAGATTAGCAGTTTCTGAAATACTCAGACCAGCCCTTCTGGCACCAACAATCATGCCACGTTCAAAGTCACTCAAATCACCTTTCTTCCCCATACTGATGCTCGGTTTGAACTGCAGGAGATTGTCTTGACCATGTCTACATGCCTAAATGCACTGAGTTGCCGCCATGTGATTGGCTGCTTAGAAATTAAGTGTTAACGAGCAGTTGGACAGGTGTACCTAATAAAGTGGCCGGTGAGTGTATATATATACACACACACACACACACACACACACACACATATATATATATATATATATATATATATATATATATATATATATATATATATATATATATACAAACAATCAAAATATAAATGAAAGCCAAAAGCACATTTTTAGTCATACCTGGAAACAAATCCTGGTCAAATGCTATATGGGCCATTCTACAGAATTGGTTCAAAGTTACAGTTGGAAACATCTTGAAAAGAAAATAGTCTTTTCCCATAAATGTCTTATAAAGTATTATTTTTTAAAGTAGACCAATACAATAAAAATAAACCAGTCGCATTTCAAAGTCGCTCGCGAAATGACCGCCAGGTGGAGCAAAGGGACATTTATCAAAACGTAAGTGGGGCTAATGTCAATTAACAGTAAGGATGAAATTCTACAAGTTATGGTAATTTACAAATAAGCCTACAACAAACATTTATTTTTAAACAAATATTTTTAAATATGCAACATGCACGTTTAAACAACAACCAATACAATCTGAACCAGCGCTTCTGCTCCTGTATTGAGACATGCAGCGCGTTTCAGTTACGATCCTGGTTCCAGTGGCCTTAATACATTCACGGCTTTTTAAAATGTCACAAAGCGTTTTGAGATGGTTTTGAATGAAATATTGAAGTTTATAATTAGGGTATTTTGGCACACCACGCCGAGTGGCTATGCATTATTCTAAAATCTGGCTTTATTCTGGCATGTTGAATTAGAGTTTGACAAACGCGGCGGCGCGTTCATTTGAATTTATTTTTCTCATAACAGCTAAAAGAACTTACTGCGTAATTGTTGGTCATACAGATAAGATATCATCTTTTAAAACTGTAAAAGGTCTACTTTTATTCATGTAGGCTAAAGTAGGCCTACACTCACAGGCTACCGACAAAACGTTTTCTCGCTCATGTGAGAAACAAACGTTTGGGTATTTCTCAGTGAGGAAATTAATAGCCGAGCGGTAGAACTGACGGTTCGATCAAGATGACACGGGTTCGAATCTCGAACAAACATGGTCTACTGTAAATTTTATATTTATTAATGCAGAGAGATTTGTCTAGCTCTAAAACTCTGTTACACCATACAGTTTTTTGCTTATATTTATAAAATAAAATTACCATGCATTTCCATTTTACACTAAGGAACAATAGTATCCAACAGAACGACTTTGCATCTGTACCAATCGGGTACCAATCGTAATTTCAAAAGCAGTTCTGTAAAAAAAGTAATTTTATATATATAGCCTATATATATATATATATATATATATATATATATATATATATATATATATTTTTTATTAGGCCTATTATTATTATTTTTTTGATTCCCTACACAACCTAGAGTTTTTAAAAACATGGTTTTAAGTAAAGTGTGATTTGCCAGGGGGGACTGGGATTTCCTTCTGGTCTAAACATCCCTGCTTCTGCTGAATTATTTGAATCCCCACTCCCCTCCCTCCACAGTAATCAATGCTATAGGCTACTTCACCAATAGACCATATCAAATATAAAATAGAGATATGCAACAAGCACGTTTAAACGACAAACAATAAAATCAAAACCAGCGTTTCAGTTGTTCATTAGTTCCAGTGGCCTTAATGCATGCACGGCTTTTCAAAATTTCACAAAGCGTTTTGAGATTATTTTGAATGAAATATTGAAGTTTATAATTAAGTTTTTTGGCAGACCACGCCGGGTGGCCCTATGCATTTTTCTAAAGTCGGGTTTTATTCGAACTTTTGCTAACGACAAAAGTTTATCTGTCGTCTCTGTCTCAGGGAACTGCGCGTCACAAAAATGAACCGAAAGCCACTTCAGCTCAGTCACTATAAGAAATCGGCTATGTCTAAAGCCTTTAAATGTCTAAATATTCAGGCTAATAAATGTTATCTGATTATGTAATCCATAATGAAAACGAGAGGTACAGAGGATCTACTCAAACATGTAGCCTATGTAAGCGCTTCCCAATGAGAAAATGACAAGACAAGGGTGAAAATCTCGCTCTAATTAAATGTAGCAGGCTAAATCGCCCTGAATTAAAATGTAAAAACAGATCAAATAATGTATTTGTCGAAATGTTGCGATATTGTTTCATTTAAGTTCATAATTATTCTATACATGTTATTTAATTTAGCAGCATTACCACGAAGCACCGTGGTTCGATATTTATTTGAATAATAATAAAAAAAAAAAAAAACTTAATTCACAAATTGCATGCCTGGTTGTAAGGATCCAAAGATCCCTGTAGAATTTAATATTGAGTTGAACATTTTGTTCATGACAACAAATTAACATGCGTTTTTTCATATTATATTTAGTTTTGCTTGGAAAAAGCTGGCCCAAACCAGTTTTATTTCATCAATTACTGAAATAATGAAATATTTAGTAATAAACTTTTATGACAGAAATATCACTAGGCCACATGTAACTTAAATCATTTAATTCCTTCATTATCAACACTGTCTAGAATAGCGATTTAAGTGTAAATTGCGACTTCTCTTTGTGTTAAATCAGCCTCAGACTCCGATAGCCGGTGGGGGGTTGGAGGGACAGTTCAGTGCTGTATCGAGCGCGCAGGACAATAGGCCTAGGTGTTAATGTTCCTCTTTCATATGGAGAGCGAGGGAGACTAAATAAACTTGTTAAAAAGAGATTCAGCGCGAGAGAGGCAAAGAAAAACGCATGTTTTAATTTAATTATGTTGCTTTGGACAATTTTCGTTTTGTAGGCCTACTGTTTTAATTGTTTAATATAGCTGTCATTTCTTTGGCAATACAAATTTAAAATGTCGCAAGAATAAGATTAGCCTAGTGTTTCTTATTTTGCATCGCAAAAGAAATAAACTCTAAACCCGATGCAACCCTGTTTTAAATTTAAAAAAACTGTCCCGACACTTTATTTAAACCTTGAAATGTTCGAACTTGGTTTCAAACTTAAGTAATTTTAGTGTTCTTTTACATTACACAATAATTTAGCAGACTAAAGACGAGCTTCTTCATTTTCATTTTCTGATGCAATCGGCTTACAATCTTCCTTCATCAGTTTATGTCCTTTGTGCAGCGCTGCGGTTCCAGGAATGTAGCAAATTTATGTTGTAATAATAATTAAACAAAACTCTTGACTTTAAATAAGTAAACAGTTATAAACAGTTAGCTATTTAAGCATCAAGAAGGTTAAATATAAACGCTGTTGGCCAACATCGGTTAACAACATGTATGCTACATTGAGATTCGATCTCGGGTCGATTGAAGCTCCTCGAAAGCTCGTGTTGTTGCGTTAACCACTGAGCTATCGTCTGTAAATGTTTTTATTGCAATGTTTTATTTTTTCATTATTTATTCAATTTCATTTCAGTAGCCTAATTTCAGTATTGTGATTATGAATTATTTTAACTACGTTTCACTTGTTGAATTCTTCTGCTACCAGCTTTCAATCGCTCTGAATGAGCCGCGGTGCGGCGGCAGATTACGCATTAGAGAGAATAAACAAACACTTTTCAGAGTCTATGATTGTAGCGCCTCTTGGCGGTAAAAGGCAGAAAATACACCCCACATTTTACCGCCGCGGTGGAACGGCTGATGTGGGCATTGTCATGGCTTGCCTCAACATTTGCGTTTGAATAGCGCGCTTCCTCCGTGGGCGTGTCAGATTAACGCGTAATGAAGTGTAATGAGCTGGGGGAAAAAAATCTGACAGCACTCTCTTTTCATACAGATTACATAAACTGAGAATATTTGTTTTTTATATAAATTACTTCATTGAAAAGAAGAGAATTCAAGCTTCATAAAGAAAAATCTCTCGTGCCTGTATGACAAGTATTTGCAGAGTTAGAGTTAATTTTTCGGACGTGTTTCAGAATGGACTGCACTGACAGAGAGAAGGCAAAACTCGCATCATGTTTATTTTTCTTTATTTGACAAAAAGCACAAAACTTTGTTTTTATTGTGAGTATACAGAAAAATAATAGACAATTAACAGGATCGATTGATGTATAACACTTATATGTACGATCAAAATCAACAGAGTATTTTAAGTCTATTTTTCTGCAATGTGAAAAAAAAACGGCAAAACGCGCCGGCGCGTTTCTGGTCCCCAGAGGGTTAAGGTAGTAGCCTAGTGAGAACCACAGGGAATCACTTTTTTTCTTCTCTTTTTCATCAAACCGCAGTTTTTGCAAGTTCCCGCAATTTCATCGCATAAAATTGCATAAATATCCCGCATATTCCATCGCATTTTTAAAGAAAACGGGCCGCATAATCAAGCATTTTTGCCCGCAACAATCAGAAAAAAACTCTGAGTTTTTCTGGAAGGAGTGCTTTATATAGAAACAAGATTGTAGTTATAATGGGAGGTATCTATTTTTTTTTATCATGTGGACATTGTGGTCACACAGCTTTCGGGATCATTTATAGAGAACATGTTGTGTTTAAAAATGTGAGATGCAGGGCAGTGGAATGAAAAGAGCAAGGTCTAGAGAGCTTATTTAGAATGCTGTGCCATGCGTAAGACACTGCAGAACATGAGCACAGCAGTCACACACATCCATCCAGCATGTTAACCTAGAAAAACAATGGAAAAGCAGTGCAGTGGAATACAAAAACGTGTTCTGTGTGAACGTGACCATGTTGACCACACATGCACAAGATCACAAGGATGGATGTATAGAGAAGATTGGCAGAGTGCTGACGGAGAACATGAGAAACACTGTGGTAGATAAAAAGCTAGACAGCAGCATGTGGATGAGTGCTATCAGGTTCATCCACCACAGAGCCAAAAAAAGTGCACGGCTGCCTCTTTTCCCCTTACTCATTCTTCATTCCTCCCTTCATCCATAATGCAGAAGCACAGGCAGCAATAAGACAGAGTAATCTTCCTGAGGGACTCATTGATGACCCCAGCGTGATCTTTAACACTGGCTCGCAGCGCTGCCTCAGGGCCTCTCGGAGCTAATACTGCCTTCAGGCCTAGAGATGGAAGTTAGGACAGAGGAGTGCCTCAGAGATGCAAAGATTCCCGAAGAAACTGAAGATTTAAAACTCAAGAAAGAGACCTATTCCTAGAGGTTCCTGGGCTCAAAGAACATCATTCATTTTTAGGACAGAGCAACGCTTTTAAAAGACGAGCGAAGCACTTGGAGTCTCATCAATTTTCTCTCCATCTTTTATCTCTACAGTTGGGTGTGTGGTTCTCCCTGGGCTGTGCGTATTTTGCACTGGAGGGCTACGAAGGGGCCGCCAAAGCTTTTCAGAGATGCGTCGGACTGGAACCAGATGTAAGTCACACGGTCCTTGAAAGGAGATCAGTGTCATATGACCATAAAGAAAAGGGCTTGTGCTTAGTTATTCAGTACTTGTGCTGTCGAATCTGACTTATGTCTTTCGTAATCAATGGATTGTGTCTACGAATGCCTCCCTGTTTTTGTGCTTTCAGGCTTCTACTCACTTTTATGCATCTATAAAGCTCCATAAAACCAAGAACCCTATTATCCTTAGCCTCTTATGCTCCTAATGGTGTACTTAAAATTCAAATGTAGTCAAAAGGCAGGCTTAATACTCCATCCAGGAAACGAGTAAACAAGCTGTTAGGAAATATTCTCTAGATGTCTACTTTCTTATGTATTTATATGGTTTATTTTGATAAGTGATTTTCACCCGTGGACCTGACTCTGATCGTTACTCTCCTACATTTAGAATTCAGAAGCATGGAACAACCTCTCCACGGCCTACATCAAACTGAGAATGAAGTGAGTATGAGTGTCAGCACTACAAAGAAGGGCTAAATCAAAAAAGCTGTGTTTTTCTGGTGTTTTCTTCCAATAAGAGTAGAACCAGCATTTTCTTTTATTTATTGCGTGTTTTTGCTTTTATAGCTTTTCGTCAATATTTGGATGAGCTGTGATTCCAAAGGCATAATATAATAATAATAATAATATCATCATATTATAATATATGTTAGTATTTTGTCAGAATACATGGCATCTTTTGAATACTTAGCCATCAGAGAGCCATCATTTTCAGAGTATTTTGAAGTTATTTTAATGCAACCATTATTGGCTTTTTTTTGCTGGTCATTTAAAATAAAGAGATAACGATTTTTTTTTGTACACCAAGGATGCATTATATTAATCAAAAGTGACAGTAAAGACAATTTAATATAAAAGATTTTGATCAATTCTCATTATTAACTAACTATTAACTTTTGCCTCAATAAACTCCTAATTACTGCTTATTAATAGTTAGTAAGGTAAGTTTAAGTTTAGGTAATGTCATGCAGAATAAGGCATTAATATGTGCTTTATGAGTACTAATAAACATCCAATGTCCTAGTAATATGCATGTTAATAGTGAGAATTGGACCCTGAACTGGTGTTACCAATATTTATTTTTTTCTTTTCTTTTTTTTTACTTTTTAAACTTTATATTCACCAAAGAATCGTGAAAAAAAAAAAAAAAAAAAATCACGTTTTCGCAAAAAATATTAAGCACAAACGATTTTAACATTGATTAAAAAAAGACATGTTTCCTGAGCAGTAAATAACCATAATAGAATGATTTCTGAAGGATCATGTGACATTGAAGTAACACTGAATGGCTGCTAAAAATTCAGCTTGTCCATCACAGGAATAAATTACATTTTAAAATAAATTAAAAGTTTTAATTGTTCAGTTATTAGCTAAATAATAGCTCCCACTGCTCCCACACACTTATCTCTCACTGAAATCGCCACCATGTACAAACTGTAGATAAGCCCCTATTCAGGTTCCGGTTGACCTGATTTATGCTGCGTTTCTGTGTTTCCTTCATCCTGCATCCGCTGGGGACCCTCAGAGGCCTCCTTGCTTTTCAATTACTGCAGGAATGACTTTGGCAGCTGTAATTGCAAAGATAAATCTCCTCCGGGCTCTTGCTGTGTCTACCCCAGGAGCCAGCGCTTTACCACGACTACCAACCCGCCAATATTAACCAGATTTGGAAGCTAAATGCCAGTTAGGATATTTGTTGCGTGACATGATTGGAGGTTTTTGCTGATTTCCTGCGAGGAACGAAGGTGTTTCCTGGAACACCACTGCAACGGCATGCACCTGAGGGATTCTGGGAATGATTTCTCTCCTCGTCCAATTAGCCCTGTGCACTCATCCCTGAGATGAGTCTTTGGAATCTTCTATTAAAACCTGATTAACGCTCCTAGGGACCATCTAGAACAGTGATGTGTGTGTGTGTGGGAGATTTTGCACACACACCTGCATCTGTTCAAAGGAAACCTGGCTTTAGATATTATAATGAAACCCGTGTCTACCCTTGTGTCATAGGCTTTTGTTGACAGCGCTTGCAAAAACATGAGCTCTCTTTCAAAACCTAGTGATCTGTCTATACAGGCAGTGTGTTAACTGAAACCTCATACTGTAAGTGATTGATTTGGAATCCTCTGTTACTCACACAACTCTTCTCATGAAGCGCAACTGGAGACTCGCAGCTGATTCCAGTGGAGTTTGATTTTAGCATGTTGCAAAGCTAATGATCCAGTACTCTAAGCATAGAAATAAACCGTGAATATACAGTATGTGTCTGTCTGTCTATCGTTCTATCCATCTATCTGTTGTTCGATCGTTCCATCCATCGTTCTATTGTCGCTCTTTCTGTCTGTCTGTCTTTCTGTTGCTGTTTCTGTCTGTCTGACGCTCTTTCTGTCTGTCTGACGTTCTTTCTATCTCGGTCACTCTTGTCTGTCTGTCACTCTTTCTTTCTCTGTCACTCTTTGTCTGTCTGGCACTCTGTCTGTCGCTCTTTATGTCTGTCTGTCGCTCTTTGTCTGTTTGTCGCTCTTTATGTCTGCCTGTCGCTCTTTATGTCTGTTTGTCTGTCTGTCGCTCTTTGTCTGTCTGTCGCTCTTTCTGTCTGTCGCTCTTTCTTTATGTCTCTGTCTGTCTGATGCTTTTTCTGTCTCTCTCTTTCTGTCTGTCGCTCTTTCTTTATTTCTGTCTGTCTCTCTTTGTCTGTCTGTCGCTCTCTGTCTGAGGATTTTTCTGTCTGTCGCTCTTTCTTTTGTTTGTCTGCCTGTCGGTTGCGCTTTCTCTCACTTTCACTCTTTTATTTTTGCACTCTCCCTCTATCTTTTGATATTTTGCCCTTTTTTGTTGCTTATCTTTCTTGTGCTCTTTCTTTTGCTCTTTTTCTTCTGCTCTTTCTTTCTCTTTCTAGTTTTTTCACTCTTTTGTTCAATTGCATAAACTATCGTTTTTGATATCTTTGACAATAATTTTGATTTCGTGTTGTTATTGTAAAGGTTTTAAAATGTTAATGATCAACTCGACCACACACATCCTGAATGACTGTTTTCATTTAGCTCACCCCAAAGCATTCTGAGTTTGCCATATCAGTGTAGGGGATGTGTTGAATAGATTCCAGAGTTTGACGTTACAGATTTGTCATTTTTCTGACTACCTGTAAATTTTGGAGCAGCCTTTGTACCTAAAATGCTCTCTATGCAGGCAGCTCTCTAGGTTTTTGGAAGAGAACAATTATACTTTGCCACATGGGTAGTTTGCCAAAAACCCTTTTTAGAGAGGAAACCACAAAACTTGGTTCTGCCATACACCGTTTAATCCATCCATGAGCAACTTCTGCTAATAGTAGTTCTGCTAAACACACTGATTTTGTTTCGTGTGTGTGTTCCAGGGAGAAGGCGTTCCGCACCCTTCAGGAAGCGCTCAAGTGTAATTATGAGCGATGGCAGATCTGGGAGAATTTCATTGCCGTGTGTATAGACCTAGGCGAGTTCAGTGAGGCTATCAGAGCCTACCATCGGCTCATGGACCTCAAGGACAAATACAAGGACGTGGAGGTGAGTCAGCGTCACGCTTTTTCTCAGGTTAACCCAAAACTCTGGCTGCCCCGACCAAAGATTTTAAAACATAGATGAAGCTCTTAAGCCCACGCATAAAGCTTGCCACAGCAAAACACCAGCAAAAGTAATGATTATGAATGTGTTGGGGGGAAAACAGCAAGGAGAATGTCTGAACATTAAAAAAAATTATGTCATCTCCACAGAAAAATGGAAGGTTGTATAGAGAGAAATGTACGTTAAGTTAAATATCATGCAGTAAACGTTGTACTAATTGAGCTTCCACTCTTGGATATGCGCCTAATAATAGCGTACATTTATCTAGGTTAACATTAGAGAGAGCAGCAATGTAAAGTGTTTCAATTGATAAGCCATTTTTGAGTTCGATTAAACTTTTGAATTTACTGGCCAACATAATTACCACGTGGCCCATCCGTGTTAATGACCTGTTCGTTATGGGCTGCGTAACTTAACCACTTCCTGTGGAGTATCTTTTTTTTTTTTTTTTGAGACCAATTAAAATTTGGTCGACCAAACCTCTGTTCATCGACTAACGTTAGGTTGACTGTTAGGGATGAACCATACACAACTATTTTTATTTGCATACATTTCCAGAGCGATTTTCTCATATTAAATGTCTAACAACAACATAGAGGTGAACTTTTTTTGGCTTGTGTAACCAGTGTAAAGCAGATGATGTCTGCTGTCATCATGTTTTCGACCACACTAACAGCTGCCCGACTGCATGGGCAGAAGAAACGGTCATGTGAGAGGCCGTGTGTGTGTAAGTGAGAGTGACTGAGAGTTTTGATGAGTGAATGTTTGTGTGAGAGAAGAGAGAGATGATTTCAGCCTGATCTGCCAATATAGAACACACAAAGTTAATTCTTACCCCAGATGGGCTCCTGTCTTCTCACATTCATCCAAACAGCTCTGTTTTAAACACGCACCCCTGTATGTCCCTCTGCATCCGTGGCCCCATCACACCTCTCCTCCGTCAGCTGTGAATCTAATGGCGCCGCCGTCATAACCCGCATGTCTTAAAGCTCTACGCCATTAGACACGTTTGCACTGCGGCTGGTTGATGTACCAGCT